TGCAGGAAAATTTTGATCTAAATTTATTAAATCGTAGTAAAAATAGTTGGATTTAACTTCCTCACTTAAATTATTACACGCGTAATTTTCTTCCAACTCTTTTGTGAGGATTATTTTATATAAATATTAGAATATTTCAAATATAATCATTTGCATTTCAAAAACTACTGCTTCCATCATTGAATAGAGTGATTGTGTTGACATATCTCTGTTAAAATAGTATCATGAAAAATTAAATGACAACGATCAACGCCATCTATGATTTTGGACTGGAAGCTCAGGAAAGTAACAGGGTCACAGAATGTGCGAGGAGGTATATATGCGAAATTAAGAAACAACCGTTGGCGACATCTATGATTTTGGATTAGAAGCTTGTGTTCCAAATATTCATGCACACATCATAAATACCATATCCATGTGCACGTTGAAATATCATTCTTCTTTACATTTTACTTTTAGTTTTGTTCATAATTAAATACTTTTACGAATAGACATGTCTGTCATTGTTACTAAATCACATACGACTTCAAATAATTAATAACAAACTAATTAGCATCAAGTTATATATAAAAATTGTATAGGAATGTTGACTACAGTTCCAGCTTTGCGATGCAATTATAAAAGTTCATAAATTAATCACAGAAATTATGTAATTTGTTAATTTTCACTATCGAAGCTTCTCTGTCTTTTTCTAACCACCTTCTGTCTTCGTCTATCACGTCACGTGGTTTTAGTCGACCTCCTCGTGCATTCTGTTCTCCTGTTACCGAACCCGAGCTTCGAGTCCAAAATCATAGATGGCGCAGATTGAAGTTGCTTGAAACTTTAATTTTATTTGAATTAATTACTAACTCTGGTTATGTCCACCAGATGTCGAAACGAATTTCTCTGTTAATTAATTAATTATTATTAATTATTGCACTGAGTGTTCGAACTATTGCCGACGATACCAATAGTTTGTTATTAATTACTAACTTTGATGTAACTAATTTATGAATTGCTTGCACTCGTTACGAAAGCAGTTGTCCTTGGGCATATTCGCATATAATTTTTATTCATATTTTATATCTAGTTTTGTTCATAATTAAATATTTATAATTGAATAAAATAATATAATAAAAGTGGCAGTAGTGCTGCTACCGTCGGTAAGTAGGCAGCAACATTGCCGTCACAGAAAGAATCTTTGGGTCTCTATCTAGTGTCGTTGAAGTGTACTTACGTATACTATAGTTGCTACGATGATATAGTAGAGCTTAGTTTATTTGATATATCAAGAAACGAATCTTTTCATCATAGTATTATTTGGATATGTACATCATATGAAAGGTATGCTTTGTTGCAAAATGTGATTGAAAATCTCTATTTGAGATTATAATTAAAATTTCAAGCATTATCATTTTAGTATATAAACAATAAATATTTTTTGTAATCTCGTAGTAATAACATTTTTTATAAATAAAAATTTATTGTTACTTTAAAAATAGAATGTTTTATTGAAATTCATTGTAATTTCCACCATTTGCAATAATTAGTTCTGATAAGATGGTTTTTCAGCCCTCCAAAATTAGTAGATAAAATACACACTACCTTTTATTGTATACCTCTGCTTGTGTCTATATTATATTTGTACTGAATAATTATTTATAGGTTTAATCTTAATCACTATTTGTTTGATAATTTTATTTTTTACTTAATCGATAACAATGAAAGTGATACTGAGGTGGTAACGAAGTAAGGAAGTTACTTAACTGTAGCTTATAAAATGTAATATAACATACAATTTCATTTGTGTAATTATTATTTAGTACATTTTTAGACTCAATAGAGAAATAATAAAGAATGTATATGTAATTGAATGAATATTTTATATCTAAATTTTTATTTCAACCATTTTTATTGCTTAATCGATAAAACAGATCGAAAAATCGATATACTATAAAACATTGTTATAAAGCAACTATTAAACAAAATTCAATTTTCTTTAAGTCATGACTCTCATTTCGTTTTAATTTTCTCCTGCATAAAGTAAATTTAACAGAATAAAGAAAAGTTATTAAAAATATTATTAACATATTAAAAATTGTAATAGTGTAATTTAAAATAAATTTGAAAAATATAATAATTATTTGCATGATAAATATCAAATATACACGACATTATTACAGAATAATTCAATATCTAAATTGTAATTTAGTAAATCGTATAATCGATGCATTATAAATTATAGATGATTTTATAGTACATTTTCTATGTCGGTAAAGCAATAAAAGTTAGTCTGCAAAAGTCCACTTCATATTAATGCAAATTATATTTACATTTTTATTTCATTCCACATATTAATTTAATTTATTAATTAATATGTTATACATATTATAATTGTAAATTTTATTCAAACGAAGTGCCTCTTGTTATACAATAAATTATACACACGACGCAATGATATTTTCTTAAATTTTTAAGAATTTTTCCCTTAAAATGCTATAAAATATAAGTTCTTTTATGATTTTCAAATAATAAACACAATTTTTCACGTTAAAAAAGTAATTGAAATTTGTTTTACAATTGATATTATGATTGGAAGGGTTTAAAATTACAATCATCTTAATTCATATCGTAATTAATTATTTAATAGTACTTTGTACGAAAATAAATAAGTATTTTAGAGGTATTGCAGAATTTTACTTTATTTACGATTTTAAATTTTTTATTCAGTCCCTTATTTGTAAGTGTAGTTTTAAATTTTTCTATGCTGAATCGGTAACGTTGGAAATGACACTGAAATGATAATGAGACTTTGGTGCCACCAAGACGTGGGATAAAAAATGTATTGGGTGATAAATACATCCTGCATTTGGCTTGTACTTATGTACATCTATACTCATAAATTTTGTAAGTTTGAATTATTGAAGTTACCAGCAACTTAAATCAGCAAGTTTAGTTTATAGGCGCCATATCTCTGTTTTTTAAAGGAATCATTATACGAGGACCAGATATTTAAGGCAATTCTTCCGTTTATTTTGCCTGATCCTCTCAGTCGAATGACACACGGCAATGACATTAATGTCACACGACACAGTGGACAGGATATGGTTAATTCAGATCGGTTGTCATGTGTGACTCACATTATATGCGTGCGCGCGACTCATCTCAAAGTGACGAAAAGAGAGAGGAGGTAACTACCAATAGTACAGTGCTGTGAATCGCACACACGAGCTGCCACCGAGCACTAAGGTCACACACACGAGGTTTGACCTTAGCCCCCAATTTGTTTCTCGACGATCAAGTCGAGGAAATCATTTTCGCAGCCTTCTTCATCGCGATAGCTACTCAATGACTATGTCATGCAGGTGTATTAACATCAATTATTATGATAGCTTCTGTTCATATTCTACTAAAAAATGCAAAAGTATAATTCATTCATAACTCACGAAAGTATATTAAAATAAATAAGAATTTTGAACTTAACTAATTAATGATTTACAATAAAAAGTATTTGCCTTTAACAAAGATATAATATTAAAAAAGAAACTTTGAAGATTTAAAAGATTAAGGAAAATTAAAATATACAAATGATTGGTAATTTAAAATAATTGGTTATTTTCTAGTAATATGAATTAATGTTTATTTTTGTATTACCCTATTTTTGGTGCTTTTAATAACATAATAGTATGAAGATAATTTAATATTGAGTTTCTTTAAGGTTAATTCAATATTGTTAGCCTTAGTAGATCAATGTTTTTCAATTTTTTCCAATATTATTTTACCACTTTTTATAATAGGATAATAATTTAAGTTAGCACTGACGGTATTTATGCGTATTAAAATAGGAAACTTAAACTTAGACTTTGAAAACAAATATAGTTCGCAACATGAAGCAATAATCGTAAATAAGTGAATAATCTAAGAGAAACCACCTGTTCGTGGAGGCTAGTTGCATTAAGTTTGAGAAATGAACAGCAGATCGCGCCACTAAACATTGATTACTTTCACTATAAATCGTGTATCAATTTTGTATTGGTTTAGCGTAATAAATAAATGATGTAAACATTATTTTTCTTTTTAATCGTTAAAAATTTACAATATATGTAATTACAATATATTTCCTTCACAAATATGTTTAATTCATGTGTTCATTCATATAAATACATTTTTATATACCTACAAATACCAAACGACTTGCCACGTCATAATGGATTGTATTAAATTTACTAACACGTTTTTAATTTGGAAAAAATATGCGATTTTCTAGCGTTTGTAAAATTTTTAAATTTACATTTTATGTATAAAATAATATAAATGCACAATAATTTTTAACAATTCATTACACAATATTGAAAACAGGTTATGTAGGTTTTTAAACTAAAATTTATTTCTAATATCATTAATTGAAGTTATTTTTTATCTTAAATAGTGATCATTTAAATTTATAATTTTTACAACAGGGTATTATTCTTGATATAAAATATAAAAGAAGTACAATACATTCGTGGGTGTAATTCTAATGTCAGATTACTACCAAGCATTGAAATCTTCATACGAGTCGGTTTGAACAGCCGAAAACCTGTTCAATTCACTATAACCTGAATACAACGAAGACAAAGAGACTGTATTGTAGGCGTGGCATACGAGGAACATCGTACTATTATATATCACCATAGCAGCCTTTATATATTAATATTTTAAATTACTCGAGAGTTAGCGAAAATGAAATTTCATGGGATGGATTTAATAAGCGATCGACCAATCATAACAAACATTTCTAGGAAAATTCCCATGAGATCGCCGCTTGTAGCACGTATCAACACCATGAACTCAACACATTGGCAGCAATGGATAACATCCACTATGACACCTTGTGTACGTGCATGATCGACACGTCATGGCAATGGACGGTTTGATGACGGTGGTGGGGGCTTAAGGAGGGGCAGAGAGAAAGAGAAAGTGGCAAGAAAATAATAGAAGGAAACGAGACGGAGAAGAAGCCTGCACGGATGAAGCGTGTTTAGTCAACCTGGTGGCGCTGGACAACCAACTGTCGGCAGCGGAGAAGCTGTTAGCCGACTTCGAGGAACTCACGGTTTCGGTGCAGGGAATCTGCAGTGCCGTCGGTCGTGTTGTTCCACGTTTACATTCGATTGTTTCCGTGCGTTTGCCACATTAAAATCTCGATACGTGATCAGTGCGTAATTCCAATAGAGAAAATTATTCCTTGGAAACACAATGGTCAGCAAGGATTCGAAAGTCGTCACCCCGGAGATGACAAATCCCTATCTCAAACCACCGAGTATGTCAACCAGCCAGTCTCTAAAGACTTTTCTTTACAACCGTGAGACGGGTGCCTTTTTAGGCAGAACAGCCAGTAGCTGGGGTAAGTTGTGTATATTTCATATAACTTAGATCAAACTTTAACCATTCGATTGATCGTGTATAGAAATCAAAACAATGATCACCTTCGATCGATTATTTCAGTCAATTTTCGAAAGGAATTTGCTTAATTTTAACATTTCACTTTACTTCTTGCATCGCGTCGATGTGTATATGTAATAATCTGATGAAATATCAAAATTATAAATATTTGTTCTTTCTTCTAACAAGCTTTTAAATTCTTCTTAAATTCTTCTAAAAGCTTTTCTTCAAATTATTTCTTTTTAATTACATTTTTTAATTGCATATGAATAATTTAAAAATATTTTGAGATTATTTTATATACGCATTCATAAATGTGTATGTGAATGAATCTATATAGAAATAAGTAGGTCATTTTGACCTATTTACAAGCTATATATATATAGACATATATATAGATATGTATATAGATTGTATATTTCACTTTACCATGTTTACTTCTCTTTATTATCGATCTCAATGTCATTGAATATTAACTAATGACAAAGATACGAATTGTTTATAACTTTTATGCAATCCTATATTATTCTTGATTTAACGAATAGTTAAATTAGTATAGTTAATTTCATGAAAGAGAAAATGTGAAAATAGGAAAAATAATGGGCAGAAAAAGTTCGCCATTCCTATTTCCCAAGCAGGTGTATAGGGTCAGCAGGTAGAATTTATACTGTACATGATTACCTAGATCAACAGATAAGAAACTCCTCTTTATATATGAAAACTATCAAATTTACGAAAATAATGTCTAAAACATAGTTTATGCATGTATATGATGTGAATAATAAATTTAGAAAGTCCTATTTATTAAAATTAATCAATTCGTTGAGTGATTCTCATTTGGCGGGAAATAATTACGAATTTAAATACTTTTACAGATTTTTGATAAAGCGTTAGTACAAAAACGATTAATTGCTTAATTATATATCAAATATTCTTTATTCGTGTTAATTTAGTAATTCTGTAAGGAATTTGTTGTACATTTCGTGGCATGTCTTATATATATGTATGAATGTTACATTTACAAATTAAATAATTTATGCATGTGTTTCGTTACTACGTATTTACATTTCCTTTTAAAGTTCTAGACGTTATGTTATCTAATTTTTTTAAATGTATATTTGAATATAAATATCGCAACGGTTAAATAATATTTAACAATAATACATGCAAGTATATCGTATAAATTTCGATTTAATAAATTTAATTGTTCGATCTTCCAGTCATGGTTTTAATTACTGCTGGTTTTTTCTTATTGTTTGAAACGACGAGAACATGAAATGAAAGTTCGAAGGTAAGTACATTTGAACCAATGTAACAGTACTAGCAGATACTATAGTACATTTTAATGAGCACGTGTTTAGCACATCACATTGAATTCATTCAAATCGATATTTGAAAGTATTACAAGTGCAGGTAAGAAGTTGTAGGCAATTTTAATTATTACTTATAACTATTTCGTACTTTTTTAAAAGTGCATATATATCTTTTATCTCATATTGCATATTTTATCTCATATTCTGCAAGTAGCTTGCAGAAAAATGTTTATCATTTCTAATAAATTTATTATCGTTATGAATGCTTTTATTATACCGTGTTCCTAATGTACCAGTAATTTTTAATTAATTTTATACGTTGTAAACTTGTTTTTTCTAAAATGTGAATTACTTTCAATATTTATAACAATGTTATTAATATCTTTCATAAGTTCATTGTTAATTCTCAAGAACTATTCTGGAGATTATTTTTAATGAAAATAAAATTCATCTATAAGTTATTAATTAATTAGCTATTGATAATAACATTTTATGTCATAATTCAAAAATATATAATATTGATAAAAAAAATATAGAAATATTAAATAAATTTGAAATTATTAGTTCAAGTTAGTTTTTATCTTTTCATAATGGTATACACGAAGTATATATATTTTATATAACCAGATGTACATATTTTATTTTTTACTTGCTGTTATGCAGCAAAAAATCCGTTAATTATTCTTGACATTGAAAACTTGAGGTGATTAAACAGCTGCTTTTTATATGATTTCTTTCATGTTACATAGATATCTTATGACAAGGTATGTATCAAAAATACATACAATAGTTATAATGTTTGTATATACCTATCCAATTTTTTTTTTAAGTGTATATTTATTAAAAATGTTCCAAATATCTTGTACATAAAATATTAAATGTCTTTTGGACCAATACCTTTGAAAGTAAGAGATATATTGATCATAACGTTTTCCTTTAATTCATTTTTCTGCGAATTCATTGTGCAACGCTAAAGGCTTTGCGAATATCAACATCAATCAATAGTTTGCTTTTGTTTCGTTATAAATTTTTTACTATTCAGCTCTAAGTAATATTTCCATTAGACTTAACTTGTAAAATTGATTTAAAAAATAATTTAAATAAAACGTAATAATTATAATTATATATTTGTCACCCGTTACTTTTATTAACAAAATTTTTCGCGTCGAATATTGGTACGATATTATGAATAAAATATTATTCAAAATAAATCACGCAGAGCTAGAAACTTTTAAAATCATCGCTTTTTCCAAGTTTTCCTAGTTCGATTTTTTATTAAAAATTTACGTTTACGTAAATTCCTAAATTTTTCTAGTAATCTAAATATAAATTTTCCTAGTTATCTAAGTTCGATTTTTTATTAAAAATTTACTTTTACGTAGAAATTAATAGAAAAGTGTAAGAAAAAATATTTCCATCGTAGTAATAATAACAATGAATGGAATACCATGAATTTATGTGTTGGCATGACAACAGTTGGGAACACACTGTACAGAAGGGTTCACCACCACGCCATAAAATATCAATGTTAGACGCCATATCGAAACAGGTGGACTACGTATTGATTTTTAATGGCATTTCCGGTATAATTTGAAAATTACCGAAATTTGCTTGAATTTACGTCTATATTCGCTGATATAAAACTCCATTACTCACTCGAGCAAGTTACTTTAAACATATAAAAATACATCATATATTAGCATTACTGTAAATGCATTATTATTGCAAGTTTTATCAGTTTTATTTTTCATTTATCTTTACAATAAAACAAATTTGGTTTTACCTTAACGGATATCGAATACCTAATCAAAACAAAAGTAACTAGTACCTAGTGACTAGTAACCGAGTAATTTTTCTACTTTTTCGTTTTGTTCTTTGTTTTAATAATTATATGCAAATCGTGATGAAACAGAAAATTATTTATTAGAGAGATATACAACTTCATTCAGATCGGAGCATCAGTGTGCTCGCTCTTCTTGAAAACTGATCTGTAGATTATATTACAATCAGTTATCTGCAGCTGTTTCAATAGTACATAGAAGACCTACAAAAAGCACAGAAAGGTAGAGAGAATCGTGAGATTACGTCTTCTTTTGCTTAATTAGCTCAGAAGCCTGTCGCTGCTTTACAGTTTCTTGCAAATTGCATTCGCTGTTAAAATATATCCCACGATTTATACTAGCCTTGAGGATAGCCTCGCCAACATGTTACCCTTGTATTGTATCCCAGTTCTCTTCAGCCGCTTAAAATCGCAGCTCTGTATCGACACACCGACATGTTATAAAATACCAGTGTCAATTTAAAGCAGTTCTTGCAATTTGCCTTAACTTTCCCGGATTATTTATAATTCCTTTTCTAAATATCTTCAACATTCGACATTAGTACAAGCTACATATATTATACACAAATAGCAACAATTGCAACAGTATAATCAAGCTACAATAAATAGATATGAACAATTATCTTAATATCTGAATAAAAATCAATATTAATTTTGACAGAAGTAGTTATATAATTTTAAGAATTAAAAAGTAAAATGTCTGAAACCAGTGAGTTTGGTGAGTTGATACCTCTATAGTATTAAAACTGCGAATAAAAATATAAATAATTTCTCGCACCAATGAAAAGAAAATAAATAGATTTTGTTAGGAGACTTTATCAAAATTGAAGTGCCTTTTTTAAATTCAAATCAAGAAATTAATAAATTTTCGTTGAATTTATCCGTATAATCCACATGGAGGTATGGAGACGCGTCATTCACTAAAACAGAAAGTAAATTTCACGCGGTATGGCGCGTCTAACGGTTGGGTATGCGCGCGCATCCTTGATAGGTTTGGCCAAAATAAAGGTAATGGCAAGGAAAAAAGGAAGGGAGAGAAAAAGACGGAAGCGAGAAGCGCGGCTAATTCGCGGTGCACACAACGGTTTGCTCGGCTGAATGGCAATTGTTAAACTTCCTTTAGCGCAAACGCGTACAACGAGGTCAATTGGCGTTAAATGGAGGCATTACGGCATTATGTAACTTAGGGCCATTCCGAAGGGTACACCCACGCGACCATACCATAGCTTTCGTCCAGCATCGATCTGCCAAAAATGTCTGAAATTAATATCAGATTCAAGGCGTAAGGGTGACTTCAATAACTTTACTCTTTGCTGGAAAGCGTCTGTTAATTGTGTAAAATATTCCTGAATTTATTCGCCGTATCTTCGAAATCGTATATCCTAACCTAAAACACAATAGTGGTTAAGGTACGTTTAATCTTTACGAAGCTTAACATAATTCTCATTAAGCGAATGATATTATCATTGATATTTCTTGAAATATTTTTAGACCAGAATGTACTCCTTGGAACAATAGACAGAAAATTTCTGAATAATTAATAGAATCCATGAATTAAAATTCAAGGACGGAATAAGGTAAAGGAATCTTATTATGTAAATATTTTATAAATATATACGTAAACAGTATTATTTATGTAACGTTATACAGAATACGTGTCAGAATACGTATTTTATATCATTTATCATCCCGTTTTTCTACCTGAATAAGTAGAAATATTTATAAAATAAAAATAAATTTATCTTCATGTATGCTAAAATATAAGTTTTCAGTAGACGTTTCCAAATGGTTCCTTAAGTGGATCGCCACTGAATTGTTTTCTCAACTGATCTTTTTCCAATACAGACGTATATTCTCATCCTGCGCGAATATCATATTGCGCGCATCCATGTCGGTAATACAATACAGTAGCTAACTGTCGAGATTCCGCTTATCGTCTTTCTTTATGATGCTACAAGTAAACCATAACAAAACTAATATATCATAACAAATAAGGTAAAATTTTGTTTATTGTAAAAGACAAATTAATAAATAGACGAAAAAGAACATATTTATTAATTGAATATCTTTTATAACCTACAAAAATTTATAACCTACGAGATTGTTTTTCGCAAATTTCGAAATAATTACAGCGTCTTTTATGTAATAATCTTTGTTATATAATATAGGTAAATTTGATGTCACACGTTGTTTAAATTAATGCATTTTAGTTTCAAAAATTGAATATAGTCACGCCCATATGTTCATATTCTATCTTTTGATATATTTTTTCTTAAAATGATAAAATATTTGTTTTTATTTAGAATTAAATAAAATAAAAATCAATTCATCGTCTGTTTTTGAAATGTATCCTTAAACTATCGTATTTCTACTGCAAGGTTTCAAGGTTAGTTTGGGATTTTGTATCTTAAATGTTTGGGTCGGTTTACAGTGCGTTATATTTCGCCCAGTGAGTATTAAAATGTTCGATTTTCTTTAACTGTTGTTATTAACGAAGTATGTAATAAAATTATTAAGAAACAATATTAGTTACTAAGTAATCTATTAATTCAATAATTTGATTAATAAAACACGGTGTATTTCTGTTATTCAACATTAGCTTTTCCCTCCATAATACATTGAATAGGATGAAGCAACTTATTAGAAATATAAAAATATTCTTTGGAAAAGTAAAACGGAAATTAAATTGAAATTAATACATTTCCACTTTATATTCATTATGTTTATATTGATATTGATACTTGCCTTATCATTTATCAGTTAATGAAAAGTGAGTAATAAAGCCGATACATATATACACACGTTTATTATGTAAACTATATATTATATACAATGTGTTGTATTCGTTATTTTATTAAAAATTACTATTAACTTATAAAATGAAAGGCAGTATGTTATGTACAGTATCTTATTAAAAATTACAATTAAATTATAAAATAAATTGCAAAAATGCGTGAAAGCATAAATTTTAGGTTAGTTATGCAGTTATTTCCATATTTTAAGAATTTGTATTTAAAAAGGGAAAAATTATTTTAAACAATGTTTTCATACCAATGTCATGTATGAAAATCAGTCGTATGTACATATATACATGAAATGTTACGAACTTGTTGGGTCCCTGAATTTGTATCGGGGTGTGCACAAAAATTTAACTCTTCTGCTGCAGTACTCTACTATCGAAACAAGTTCACTTTCAATGATTATTACATCACTGTGCAACTATTTAACAGCTTCTCACTTACTAAACACGCCGAGTTCATTTGCAAATTTTCACTCTAACGACGTTTATTGGTTTCGTACATGACTCATTCACCTTTATCCTCCTGTGGCTTTTTAAAACACAAGATTTGCTTGCACATGATTTCATTCCTAGAAGTTCTGAGGTAATTCAATAGGTTCGTCCTTGTTTTCAACATTTCTAATATGATTTTCAGTTTTATTTGATATAAAATATACAATATACGTTATATTTGTGTACTTATTGTATATATTTATATATTATATCACATACTTACAATTGTATATACTACATAATATAAGTTTCATTTAATTACAAATTTGACAAATATAGTGGATAAATCGTAATCGATATAAAATGATTATCTGAGATCTGATATCCTCTTGTTTAAAAATTTTTCTAAGTATTCAGTATCGAATGCTAAAAGTTGTGAAAGCACCAAAAATTGATTGAAAAGTTTTAATTAGCAGAACAAATTTTATAGGTATGAAAAATATGAAAGAAATGCATGAATATATTTAAATGAAAAAGTAAGTATAATTTTATCATAATCCAATATAGGATAAATATGGGAATAATATAGGAAAAATTATAGAAGAAGCTAAAATAAAAGTTTACTCTGATAAATCAGGAGTATCAGCTGAATTTTAAGAAGAAAATTATTTTCTGAGAGAAGTAAGAGAAGCATATATCATCTATATAACCCTCGTGTTAAGTTAAAGCTATTTCACAAATCTACGCGAGGAGAAAAAATGTCAAGAGTTAACTGCAATGATTTTTACGATATGCTGACGTCTGGTGGATCTAATGGAATTAATCGACGCGTGGTGGTACGCCGTGTAATATAGGTTAATTGCATTAATCGTTGCCTCAATTCAAAGGAAGATCCAAGCGTGTGGTCAAGTGGAACAATTCAATTATGTACCGATTCAATGTCTCGCAAGGTCGCTTCTCGGATTCCACTCTCCACTAAAATGACCTCTTGACTAACGCTCGGGTAGCAAGAACTTTAACCCGTTTCTGCTCGTAAAACTATTATTAAGTTATTATTATCCGATAAGTTTGAAGACATGTTCTACAAGTACTTACTTTGTCAATGTTGGCCAACTGAGTGTCCGCTGACAATATCTAGGTTTCACATAGTCCGTGGCAACGGTATGGCGAGTTGGTAAATTAAAACATCAAGCGGCAAGACTGATTAATATAGGCGCACCCCAGAGCCATCGCGCGTCTTACGGAAGCAGCTTAATCTCAAGCTGTAAGACATTCGCGAATTGATATTTACCCTCAAACTGGTGTCATCGATTTTCATCACCGAAACAGTTTCGATCAGATTATTTAATTTTATTGTTCATTCTACATTTATGGGATAAATTTTCAAACATAAAACGCCGATTAATATTATACATGCCAAAATTAAATAACCTAACCTAAACTATCGTGTTATCTATGTGTGATTAAATGACACCAACTGAGGGTACAAATTATTATAATACGCGTGTATCGTGTGGAAAATGGCAAATTGTATATTTTTAGAAACTGTTTTCCAAATCGTACAAATATTTCGAAATAATACGAAGTAATACGAAGGAAGAAACTTATGAATTGACATTACGTGATTCTTATGATGTACGTTGGTGTGGATATATATGATGTATTTATATATGTTTAAAAGTATTGTTTTGACTCTTGATACGTGCTAACTTGAACGTCTGATCGATTTTATGACCTCATCACATCGCATCCACTGACTATACTCTATTATGGATTATGCCGATAATATTAAAACCTCTTCCATAATATATAATGTATAGTACAGCATTTGTTCATAGAGGGCTAAGTGGACATAAATCACGTTTAACGGATCTAATTTACGGTATGCTTTACTGTGACTAATACGTTGTAATATGAAACTATGTAAAAGTTAGCGGAAATGTATACATTGAAAGCGGAAATATAGAAAATGAGACTCGGATGTAGCAAGATTGAACGCCCTGTCGTGACGTTAATTGCTACAGTTCAGTCATGGAAATTATGTGGTTGTCTGTAATTTTTTTCCAAGCTCCATAATTACAAAGTAAATAAAATCTGATGTATTATTTACCAACGATACGGGCAATTCTAATATATAATAATAATTACAATTTTTAAATATAATATAATTAAAAAAGATGTCTTGTCTTCTGACATTTCATTTTTCAGAATTCGTTAGCATACTTCGTTATTGATTATTTTTACGTATAGTTACGTATGTATATGCAAATGTTAATAAAGGTGTAATTTAATTAATATAATTTAATTTAAATGCTAACTTATAATTCAAACAATTTTTAAATATTAATTATCTATATGTTTATAGATATGAATAAAATAAAAATATTTTTACTGTTGTTTCAATGAACTGATTAAAAGCAAAGAATCGTGTTTATATGGCGTAGGGAACAAGTTGGTTGCTTCGTGGAATATCGTACCTCAGGTTTAAAATTCTAAGCAGGCCAGGAATCTTGTGTTATTTTTAACGGCGATGGCTAATGCGTGGGGTAGGGTGATTAATAATCATGTTACAGCGTTACATTTTTTTCCAATAACAAACAGTAACATTTTAAAAATTTTTACAAGAAAGTTATCGGTTTCCCTATGATTATCTATTAGGTGATTAATTTTTCAGCATGATGAAGGATTATCGTGTTTCCTCGAGAATGTAGGAAATTTCTTAAACCACAAATAAACAAATGAAATATAAATCTGTACAAGAATTTGGAAAAATATAAAAGCTAGAATTTAAAAAATATTTTTAACACTTTTATATTTGATACATTTTTATAATTTATATTTTTATTTCTTTTTCTAATTCGTGGGTTAGAAATTGGTATCCTACAAGGAACACATCTTTCACTATATTTGTAAAAATAAAGCAATTAATTATGGTAAATTGTTATTAGTAAAAGCAAAAGAGAAAATTTAAAATTTATTATATATGTATAGTCGTTATTAATATTTATAAACACAAATAGAAATAATCGAAATGGAATGGCATGACTATATATATATATATATAAGAAAAAAATTCAAAATTCTGAAATGAATTTTGAGATCTAGGTTTGAAGAAACGTTATACTAAATCTTTCAATTATTTTATTACTCGGATTTTCTTTTGGTTTTATTACATACCTAGAATCTATTATGTGTACATATGTAGAAAAATTTAAAAAATATGAATTATGTCAATTTTGAAAATGATCGTTAATTTTAATTATCAGTAATGGATGATATTAGCGAAATGAAACGTATATCGAAAACCCATATTAACCAAAATAAGTTAGTGGAATTATAAGATTGGCCAGGATACGAAAGTATAATTAAAATAATATTTTTTATTGCTCTCAAAAAAAAATTAGAAGATTTTTAAAAATTTTTTATAATTCGTGAATGGAATAATAATCTCAGATTTGTATATTAATTAAATTTCCGTTTGCAGGAAAAATAGGATTGTTCTATTTGATATTCTACGGGGTGCTGGCTGCACTGGTTGCAATTTGCTTCTGGGGTTTCTTTCAAACGTTAGATCCAAGGATACCGAGGTGGCAATTAGAACGTTCAATAATCGGAACAAACCCTGGTAAAACATATTTAGTGAAATATTTGATTATTTTACAATGGACATTCTTTATATTCTATATTTTTATTTATAGGATTAGGATTTAGGCCACGTCCACCAATAGAGAATGTAGAAAGCACGTTAATTTGGTACAGAGGAACCGATAGCGAGAACTTCAAATACTGGATTGACTCTCTAGAGTCGTTTTTAGAAGGTAATATTAAAGCAGAGAGTAAATTATGATTCATACAATTTTTCATCTAAGTTTATTTAAACTTTACCCTTTTATCTAAAGTTTATCTAAATTTTAAGTTTTTACTTGAACGTAACCATACATTTTTTATAAAAATTAAAAAATTTTAAGAAAAAAATATACAATTTTTCATTATAAAAGAAATATATTTTAACGTTACATTGATATAATACAGGCTTGAGATTATTTATTATTCATTTGAAGAGTAGATATAAATTAATAACCGTGGCAAATATTTTCATATTTTTATCCTGTTGAAAGAAAAGCAGTTGACAAAATGTTATGTATTCAAAAATATATTTTAGAATTTGATTTTTGTATATTATTTTACTCGAAGAATTACTAATTTTTTGAAAATAAGTTTTTATTTATATTATTAAGTTAGTTCGATTATGGCATCATTATGTGCTTCAAGATATTTATCTCAAATTTAATATTTGATTAATGAAATTATAAATGAAAATATATGAAGTACGAAATATTTGAAAGGTGTTATTTTTAAAAAATTCTTTATTTCCCGGTAGCATTTTTCGACTTACTCAGATTACAATCAATAACAATTTTTCAGATTACATAACGCCAGGTTCGGTTCCCGGTGTTGGTGCAAACATTAATAAATGTGATTATAATCAGCCGCCGCCCCCTGGGAAAGTCTGTGATGTTGATGTTAAAAACTGGTACCCTTGTACTAAAGAGAATAAATATAATTACCACAAATCTGCTCCATGTATATTTCTCAAACTTAACAAGGTAATTTCATTTTCTTAACAATAATAAAAGAAAAATACTTCTTAACAATCATGATTAAATATAATATAATATAATATAATTTTATTGGTTTTATATATAACAGATTTTAATATATATCACGAATATAATAAAGTTTAAGCACGAACTCTTTTTCTGTTCTGTACTATTAGTTTGCAGAGTTTCTGTTCTACCATATTATGAAAGAGTTAATATTAATTGGGAGCAATATTAACCCTTTGCACTCGACGATTTTTTGGCCAAAGAAGGATAGCAGTTCAAAGATTTTCTGTTAGAAAGTTGACGATATTATTCTGAGCAGGAATAAGAAATTGTGTGATAATTAACACGTAGAATTATTTGATTTTGGTACCTCGCACACCGTTATATTGTCCGAAATTTGACATATTTATAAATATCGTGCTTCGAAATTTTATCAAATGACGGCTAAAGAGCGCCTCTCGAGCGCAAAGGGTTAAATTATTTTCGGGTCACTTTTAGTATTGAGCAAAATCTGTTTTTCCATGATCGATGCACAAATAAACTTATTTTATGTCATTAGATATATGGTTGGAAACCAGAATTTCACAACGACACAAAATCGTTACCCAAAAATATGCCAATCGATCTCAAAGAGCATATTAACAGTTTAAATAATTCGCGGGAGCTTGATACCGTTTGGGTATCTTGTGAAGGAGAAAATCCTGCAGACCAAGAAAACATAGGACCACTTGAATATATTCCACGAAGAGGATTCCCTGGTTATTTTTATCCCTTTGAAAATTCGGAGGGTTACCTTAGTCCGTTGATAGCTGTTCATTTCGTCCGACCTCGCAGTAAGTTTTTAAGGCAAATTCATATAGAAACATATATTATGTGTATACGAAAATTGTGGCCGATTTTAAAGAAAGAATTTTGTGAAAACATTCATTTAAATTTCACAATTTCTGTTTACAAAACATTAAGGATAATCACTATTTTACTATTTCTGTGAAGAGGTTAAGATATAATTGTAAAAATATTTTGTTACAGCTGGAATTTTAATAAACGTAGAGTGCAAGGCATGGGCGAGAAATATAAAACACAGCCGTCACGACAAAATGGGCGTAGTCCATTTCGAATTGATGATAGATTAACGTTGTCTATATACTTTTCTCTGACCTCTCCTTTGTTAGCGTACAGAAATTCAATGCGAATCTCACGTTTTCTAACTCTTCCACATAGCTGAATACATTTAAACCGACTCATGAAGCCATCAGAAATCGATGATCGCTGCCAAAATGTGGAAGAAACTTTTGTCAAGTACAAAGTTAAAAGGATTTTTGATGTTTGTACCATCAAAAATCTCACTTTTATTAAATTTCTACGCACCGAGAAAAAATGTAAAGTTTTAAATTATTATTTTACAGTTTTATGCTTTTCGCCTGGTTTTAAGGGATAATGATAATGAACTTATGAAGAAATCATGCGATTAACGTAATATTTAATTTGTCCGATATATAACAAAAATATATTTATGAAGGAAAACAGGTATGTTTACTATACGTGAAATGTGATTATTTTAATGACAAGTCATGGCTATATATTATATAAATTTTATTAATGTGCACAGACTATCGTTTTTTCTCAGTGCTATAGCAGAATATAATACATTATTTTTCATGTTATATTTTCAGTTGTATAATTAAGTTATAATTAATTAATACAAATTTTGGCTTACTTCAGATTCTAAATTTGATTTAAGAATTTTTGAACCTGAATGTATTAATTTTTGTTTGAATAATAATTTTTACTGAATCTCATGAAATTGAATCTCATAAATTATTTGAGTTTAGTATCTAAAAATTGAATAATAGTTAATTAATGTTTTAAAGTAAATGAATACGCTTAATTCTTACAACATTTGAGAAAAGCTAACTGCTTAAAAAACTATTCAAGCTGCTAGATATCATAAATTTGGAGTTTCTTTGCCACGAAAATTTATATCTACTAATACCTATTGAGAATAGATCTCTTAAACAAAGTGACAAAGATAAGATGTATATATATATATAGGTTACATGTAATATATGTCTTATCTTTGTATATACATATATATATATATGTTTTGCTTCTGAAGTATGTAAATGTATTATATCTGTATACATATATTTTTATAGATAAGATTTTCTTGTTTTAAATTACAAATTTTTGTCATTTATTTCAATGATACTAAACATTTACTAAACAAAGTTTTTGGAAGAAAGACTTTAATGTTTATTTTATAGACAATAATTTATTTAAACAAGAATTGTAATTGAATCATTGCAACTGTTTTAATTTATTACTGCATTTATTGTTCAATATTAAAACAAGATAATAAACTGTTGTCATAAACATTTTAATCATGACAGATTACTGACATGTATTGGTGTTATTACTTTTTCATTTTACGATTATATGAAGTCACATAACAGTTTTTTTATGTATTTTTTTTTATGTGTAAATTTTTGTGTAATTTTTGAAAAACATTTTGAATATTTTAATTCTAATAGAATATACTAAATAAATACATTAATATCTTAGAAATATCATTTAAATATATTTGTAAATATATTTATAATATTATCTATATTTATAAGAAATTGACACATGAAAATATAAATTTCACTTATTATCTTTTTTCATTGCAGCTAAATTACGCATAAGTTGATTTAAAGATATGTTTAATTGAATATTAGGATAACATATTTAAATGAATGATTCATAGAATTAAAGTTAAATTTATCAAAAGAGAATTATAGTTATAATTTATATCATAATTAGATAGAAGGTTTAAAATCAGATTCATATTTTAGAAATATTTCAGTTGTGTTCAAAAAATAAAGAATCACTTTATAGAAAAAAATACTTAATTTTGTTTGCTTTAAAGTACCTTGAATACATATATATAATCAGATTGTATAATTTTTATCACTATATAATCAAATATGATGTCAGGTGTGTACAATATGAATACAATTATATATCTGTTTTATTTATTGCAAATAAGCATTATCCATTAAAGAAAGATTCATTTTTAACAAACTATAGAACATTGACTACTTTTCTCAAATTATTGTAAATATCAATTTAAGCTATGCATGACAAACATGGTATTAACACAGTTAAGTCAAGTCAGAAAATAAATTTTTGGTCTGTAATTAGACCAAATAATTTTGATTATTGAATTTTTAGGTAATAAAATATGAATTTCTTACCAATATGATGTTGATATTTTTTTTTTTTTCTTTAATTACTGGTATTTAATATTGAAATTTTAGGAATAGAAAAAATTCAAAGTTTACATTAGAATAAAGAAAAGACCATTGCATAATGTATCATATATGCATCTACAAGAAATTAGTACATTTTTTTATATTTCTCATTAGATAACTTGTAAATGCATTACATGATTTTTAATTTGGTTATCATTTAGCAGATATCTATATAAATATATTTATACATTGAGAAGTCAATGTTAGTTTGCTATTACCTGAGTAACTAAAGGTTCATTGTTTTACTTATATGTAATTATCTAGAATTTATTTAATTTCAAAAGTAATTTTTATTTATGTAGTTAAATACATCATTATTACTTTCAGCTTAAATTATTTTCTAAACACTTTGTAGGAGGAACGCCATAAACGACATAAGTACATACATTTAATAAGTACCTATATCTAAGTATAATTCTTTAAATTATTTGAATGTTGCAGCTTCGAGACCCTGATATCACCCCTTGATTTCTCTTCTTAACACTTGAGTTGTTGCAAAAGTCAATCTTCCCTTTTTGTAATTAAATATGTATATATGTACTTCAAAAAAGGAAATGATATATTTTACTTACTGTTGTTGATTTTTACAGCCATTTGATTGTACTAAAAATATTACTAAGAAAACTATCACAAGATTTGTAGACATTTCACTATCTTTAAATATATTTCCGTACTGCTCCTTGTATTTACATTTTTACTTGAGTTTGAAATTTTTTTTTTTTTTTTTTTTTTTTTCATAAACAGCACTTGCAAAGAAATAATTATTTATAGATTTATTATGCATAATTATGCATATTATTTAATAAGTAAAAGTTACTTATCCCTTAATAAATTTACTTATATATAATGTTAATCAATTGAGAACTCAAATTAAATAGTGAAAGCACTTGTAATCCTTTTTAAGTTATTGAATAAAGTACTTAAAAATTAATTTGCAATATATAGTACGTCTATATATATATATACGATTCAATATAAGTAAATAACATTAAAAAAATAATAACATGTTCCTTTACATTTTTTTTTATGTCGTTACTTATTACTGTAAAGCACGAAAAAAATGAAAGAAACTTACGCTATATATTATATATATGCGTTCTTTCTCATATTACGATTGTATTTACTCGCATATTAATATTATGACCATTAATGAATATATAATAAAATTTCGTTAATCATAAATTTCACGTATTTAAATTATGTACACTTTTCTCCCATTTTTTTTTTTTTTTTGACATCTTGATAGGAAAACAAGTTATCAAGGCCATTTAAATTATTAATTTATGATAAGTACCAGTAGCTATATTCTCTCTCGATATATAAATAGAACTTTTTCCATTTTAATTACGTTACGTCAATTATCAGACAAGCAACGCATCATCTGCATTTGATTTTTATAATCATGATAAGTGTCAATGATTAACAATTGTTTTATTTTACAGCAATGTTCGCTAACATTCGACGTCAAACACAATCATGGAATCGATATAGATGCATAGTGAATCAGACGAATCAACAGCATTTTTCGACCGCTGTTTCCACGCCTATTGTATCCCTTTAAATTCTAGTTCTTTAATTTTTTCACAAACATAAATGTATATTCCCTATTCGATTAATTAAAAAGGTGAATGTATCTATTCATGTTCTTTGTTTACCACTGCTTTGTTCAGTGGTTTTTCGAAATTTACGGTAACCGTGAGCATCTTCCATTCCAGGTGTCCACGTGATTCTACAGATGTTTTTACATCCGAAGACAAAACATTTTATTTGCTTTTCTTACAAATATAAGAGTGGTCATTCATCGATCATTAATTTGAAATGTACCACACCATTCTGCTTGTCTTTACCTGTATCATATATGATGTTCTTTGCCCAGGCTCGACAATTGACACTGATTAGTCTGTTCCCTGAAACGTAATTAGCAGTTTTTTTTTATTAAATTATTCACGATGATTGATTGTTTATTAATTCTTTCCCTCATTTTTTTTTACGATACTTCCAGGAATTGGAGCTTCTTTAAAAGTGTAAAAATAAACAATTTGAAGTCTCTATTTCTTCCTTCACGCTATATTATCCATAAACTGAATTAATACATCTTTCATCATTGCGAAGAGAAATAGGTTATTTTAAAAGGTATAAGTTCTACTGAAATTTGCTTGTAACAAGTTTCTACGGTGTCATTCATAAATGTAATTCTTTCGCATTGTATACAAAAATGTATCGACTAATGAGCCAGTTGCGATGTGAGACAACATGTGCACGTAATTTTAAGGCTATGTTACTGATGACACCTTTCAATAGCCGATATCGTGTCGCGGACACTAGATTTTACTGGTTTCAGCTGGAATGTATCATTTGCTTACCGTATATACAAAGAAGTTGGTCAATGTTAAGTAACTAGTTTAAGAAATATGAGAACGGTCTTCGATCTTTTTTTACCTACACTTCGAAACGATAATTTCGAAGCACAATGAACGATGCTTATTCATAAGATAAACAGCTATAATTTACTTACTTGCCGGCCGAAGGAAATGTACAGCAACGAGAGGGCTTAAGTAGCCAGGAATATTCTGATATGGATAATAATATCCTGGAAATCCATGAGTCTCAGGGTAGTAGTTCAGTTCACCAATTTCTTCTCTATCATGTGGATCTGCACCTTCGCAGGATACCCACACGGTATTCAGCTGCAAGAACAGAGAAAGAGTATATACAAGATGCTACAGTAATCTACAAATTGTAATCCTAAATATCGGTTTTAATTGGATCGACACGTAATATTCAATTATCCTTATTTTGTAACGTCATTTTATATGTAGTTAAGGTTATTCGAATCATTTTCATGAAAATTGAATTGACGAGTAACAATATATCCAGTATTATTGAAATTTGTTTTAAATATCGACTGACACGGTTAACTGACCGACTAACTAACCTGTGAACTATTGACAGATTCAATATGTTTAATAAGACTTGCTGGCATATCTTTCGGTAAATTTTTGACGTCGTTATAGTAGTCTGGTACCCAACCGTATATCTGTGAAACAGAATATTCTTCAATTAATTGAGAAACGCAAATAATTTATAATAAATGAACTTAAATTATAACGAACTATGTTATTAACTGAATCAATAAGTTGTCAACCCATAACGTACTCTATTTAATTTAATGAAGACACAAGGAGCCGAGTTATTGAAACCATATTGTTGATCAGGCGAGCAAGGTCCCCAGTTGTTTGTCTCAACGGCACAAACGTGTCCAGGCTTAACTGGCGTGTTATAATTACAAATTTGTTGATTTCTTCCTCCATTTGGTAGTAACGACGAATTATTATATTCTGAAACAAATGGGCAATGTCAATGCTGAGAAACTTCTCTTCAGTCAGTGTGTAAGTATTTAGCCTAAAATACTACGCGCTATATAGGGTATCTCAATAATTCTCTTATAAAGCGATATTTTCGTTACGATTAATGGTACGTACATAGGAATAATTAAGAAATAAGTTTTCTGAAATCCTTTTTTTTCTTTTTTTTTCGAAACTTCAATGTTTTTAAAAAATAGAACTACACACTTGTATCATTATAACGTAATAGCCGAGATCAGGTAATAATAGTGTGCTTAATTACAAGAAATACAGAAATTTCTGAAAAACGATGATATGGACTTGTAATAAAATTATCGAGATACTTTGTATATACAGGGTGGCAAAAGAAAAGCCTTAAAGAGCATAAAAATATCGAATAAATACAGGTCCCAAAGTCCACCTTTTGATGAAAAATTCTCTTTCATTATCTATGAATATTCGATAAAAGAAAACGTAGTACAAACCTTGTGTGTTGCAATAAATATTCCACGTATCTTTCAATATTTTACACGTATTTTTCATTCGTTGTCATAATTCTGCCATTATCTATGTTTCTTAAGTAAACCCACAAATAGAAATTCAACCTCCAATTAACTGTATTTCCAAAGTAATTCCTTTATTCGTATTCAGTGCATTGCAGATAAATTTACACAAGATACCCAATTTCGTAAATAATAAAAGTCAATTTTTCATTAAAAGGTTGACTTTGAGGCTTAAATATATCGACCAGATATATTTACTTCTGTCGTTGAGTACTATAAATCCTTAAAGTCTTGAACCCTTTTCTTATAATACCCTGTATATCAATATAGATTGATTAGCTTCCGTGTTATATTATCAACGTCATGGCAATTCACCTTCTAAAAATTTGTCTAACAGGCCTGTCCATTTTTGCACCGAGGCACGTTCCGATGAACTATACCAAATTAAGGATTTTTCTGCGGTGTTCTCGGAAATCGGTCGAAATCCTAAACCTATTAACACATGAAAGCATTTTATCGTTACTAATCACACAGATATCTTCTCAAATGGTAAGTAAAACCATATATGTGTGGCACCAATTATCAAAGTGGATTAAGTCACTTATGTTCCGTTTCGAAGTATTAAAAGCTTTGCGCTTCGAACATACGATAAATTCGAAAATTAATTATGACAAAGTTGCAAACTCGATCTAAGGATTTAATTTTTCTCTATTTCGTTTCAAAATATTTGAATATTTTTTGCTAAATATACTGTAGATCAGAAAAGTTAATCTTAACAAAGGTACAAACTGTATTATTTTTGCCAAATTTGATTTTATTTTATTGCAATATAAACAAGTGCAACGCGAAATAAATGATAAAATTATTTCTTCTAGATTTTTTATTTAAGCCACTTTTATAATTATTGGCATATATATCATAGCATCGAGTTATTGGAAAACATAATGGAAAAAGCAAAAAAGTTGTGTTACATAAAGCCTTCAAAAATAAATATGAATGTATCGATCGAAGGAATTTTTAATTTGTTTCATTTAATCTTTTTTAGCATCATTTAGCTGCACCGAAATGCAAGTTCTTGGAATTATTAATGGTGACAATTCAGAGTTCACAGGCTATTTGGATTATACCATTAATGGGGATGTGTAAATGATACAAAGGACATGCTGTATTCCGTTGCTTATAATAATTAAACAAGAAATTTAAATATATTTTTCATGCATATTTATATTTTTCCATGTACTGTTTATGTAAATTCCATTTTTGTTACAAAACGGTATAAACTTATGTTAATACGATTAAAAAATAGTACAAAGTAGTGTAAACAACTTGTGTGATTTCGATGATCTACTTACGAATTTACTTACTATTTAATTAACTCACTAAGTTCGTTTATCTAAGTCAATGGTTATTTTTATACAGGTGACCAGCATGATACAAGGAATAGCGAGTTAATTCCTTTGTTTTGTATAAACTAAGATGTTTACTTATACAAATATTTTTGAAATTTGTTCGAATATAAGATAGAATTAATTGATAAATTTACCTGGATTGGTTCCTATTATACTTTCCTCTAGAATCCACCTTGGTTTCTCATAATTTAACGTAGCTAACAGTCCTTTCATGCAAATCGCAAAGAGCAAGGCCAATACGCTGAAGAAGCAAGTATAGAATGCTCCAGTGATGGCTGGAATAAAATAGAAAAAGTACTTATTAACTAATCTTTTAATTTTCGTTTTATATTATAGTAATATATAAATAAAAAAATAAATTTCATTTTACTACGAAATATGTATTCGTATGCATTCGTGTATATAGTATAGTATATAATATATAGTGCATATACTATAGATAGCGCCCTATGTGTATAGTATATACTATATAGTGCATATACTATAGATAGCGTACTATGTGTATAGTATATACCATATAGTGTGTAACAGAGTATAGTATGTATGGTATGTACTAAACACTATATGCTACATTATAACAGTGTATATAGTATCCACTATATTTTATGTAGTATACACTATTTCAGTGTATATAGTATACTACTATAGATAGCGTAGTATGTGTATAGTATGTACTATATACTGTGTAACAGAGTATAGTATGTATGGTATGTATTAAACACTATATTTTATACTATAACAGTATATATAGTATACACTGTATTATATAGTATAATATATAAAGCGTAGCATATACAATGAATGTAACTAGTACAAAGTGTTCTATCTCTTTCGAGTAATTTTAGCGTTCCATTTTGTATAAAATGGTCTTAATTTGCGTATGCTAATTATAAAACCACGTGCCCTCGAAAATTTTCTCTATTTCAACGATTGAAAGGAAAATATTTAAAGCCTGGGCACTATGCCAAAGTCTGATCTAAATATAGTTCCTTTTTTAAGAGTAGTGTACGCTATGATGGCCACTCGCTTCTGCTTCTTTATCGCGATCAATTTTTGAGCGAATATTCATCTGCGATGGAATGTGGGGGAGTCAAAAGTAGTCGAATAATAGTTGATCGCGAAAATAGCAATATGTTAAATTTGTATAAATTTAGTAAAAAAATTGAAAATGTTTTTTTGTATTTCTCAATATTTGTTAAAAAGTTTCATCGAGCATTAAATATTCCCAAAAATCTTTAATACTTTGAGCAATACTTTTCAAAACTGAAAATAATGTTTATCTTTACCTTTTGAAATCAACATCACTATTAATATCTACATAAAACTATTCTAGTTACTTTTATATGGCAATGCAAAAATTATAAATTCTAACATAAATATTATAAACTATAATTATTATAAATTAAATATCAAATAACGATACAACTTTCAGTCGGTGATTTTAATTTTATCCTATAGACAGATATTAAAGTAATATATTTTATACTAAAAGATTGCTATTTCGTTAATTTTTATCTTAAACTAATATTTTTTTTTTAATTACCTGAAAATTTATTAGAAATTAATTTCTCAAAGAAATTATTTCTTATAAAACCGTATAAAATAGTGTATTAAATTTTAATAAAAAAAAGTATAGACAGAATCGGTCTTTAAAATTTACTATAATAATCTTAAAATGAATTTTATTAGTAATAAAACATGCAATACAATTTTACAATTTCTATGTATATTGTACGTATAATATATAAACTGATAATTTTCCAAATCAATTAACTTCAACATCAATTATCCTAATAGAGTAGAAATTGACTAAATAGAAAATAGAAGTTTATTTTAAATATAAAAGTTAAGCATCGATAAACTATCTTGACGTTAAAATGAAAGAAAAATTCAAAAAGTGGAGCTATTCACTTTGGCCTGTGAGTGACTGGCATAGCTGATATATTCAGGTACATATCCACTTGTAGCATTTTACCATTACGTATGAATGGACACCAAACGTTGCAACGTTGCGTGTCTAAATTTGATGCAAAACTCCGTAATAGAATCGATTCATCATTTGTTGGTCCTTCGTCGACGTCAAATAAATGATACAACAGTCGACTGAGTTAATTTGGTCGATGATTGTTACATTCGTCCGTTGTAAACCTGTATTTATAGCGTAGAAATGCCCAAATTGTGGGTGTGACTCCATTTTGGATGGGTCGCAACAAAATATTAAATTATTCAGTTCTTGGAAACAATTATGCTACCTTATTGCGTATATTGTGAGAAATGTTACTAACAATTTTACTTCATCGCTATCTTTTCTTAATTCATCTTTGCTATTAAATAAATCTAATTATTAATAAATTTTTTAACTTCTGCCATTAAAATCGCCGTGAATCGTAAAAAATTTGCATTTTCGAAAATGAATTATTTGTTTTATATAGATATGCAATAATGATCTAGAAAAATTTGCATCGTTTCGTTGAATGATACATTTTTATCTTTTTTATACAATTTTACTGAAAATCCTATAGATATAGAATAAATTTTATAGTAATCTTCATAGTAACCTTATAGTAACGTTCATAGTAATCATAATAACCTTCTCCGTGTGTAAATATATTTTATTATTAAACATTGTTATTAAACGTTTTCTCTCATTTTATTAAGAACTATTTATAGGATGAATTACGTTTCTTCGAATTTAAATTTCACCAATTCTATCTTAAGATAGAACAACAGAATTTATGGATGTTGGTAATGGCGGACTTGCAGCTATACTTATGGCTTCCATAATGGAAAACAATTGCATAACTGAAACTTAGGTGTATTACATATAAATACATATTATATATATCAAAATATGTATGCATAATGTATAATAACTGCTGCTATCAAAATCAAAATCAAAATCTACGTTGATTCATAAAATCATGTTGTTTCATATGCAAAAGATAGTGATCTTATACCATAGTCTTTTGTATAGAAATTGCATTTTATATTTTACATTTGCAATTGAAAATGAAGATTTAGAGATTGTTACATAGCCAGTATGAAAATATATAAGATGAATTTAAAAAACAAAATGGATCCGTTTATTTATGTATATGAAACTTGATTATGTAAGGATGAAATAACATATATATTTGAAATGAAAATTGTAGTATTATTTTTTTAAATGTTATGTCGTAGTACAATACTTACTTTCTTTTTATTGCCTCATTATTGTAATTGTATACATAGGGTGTTCCAAAATTCAGGCAGGATTTGAATTTTGCGCCATTTGTGCGGTAAAGTGCTGCCAACGGAAAAAAAGACAACGTGATAGCTGACAGTTAAAGGTTATTAAAAATGGAACGCTGCACGAAAGAGTATTTTTATTGTTACGCAATATTTACAATTGTTCATTAAAAACCTGTGTTTTCGATCAAAATTATTTCTTGCGTGAATTTTGGGATACCCATATTAGAGCGATATGGTAGAAATTCAAGACTTAATGTTTTTCTTCAGAATAAGAAACGCCACATACCTCTGTCTCTGTTACAATAAGCTATCCCAATGTATTTGATAAGATGATCACATTTTAAATATATTGTTTTAGCCTCTGCAATAGTCGCATGTGTTTCCTTGTTTAAATTGTAGAAATCATATTTACAATATTTTTATAAAAATTCATAAATTACCACATTCTTCAAAACTTTCTCGAAAAATATTATTTATTTTAAAAATTATAGCAGTTTTTTCTAACCTAACGCTACTGAAAAAAAACGCAAAATCTTCCTGTACCTACGTAGACTTATTTAGTATTAAAAAAGTTCTAAAACGAAAATTTTGTTTTAATCAATAATTTTGTTTTTAAATGTTAAGTCGAAATTTTCATTATTTAAATTATTAATATTTAACCATCAGACGAAGACATAAATATAACAGAAGACTAAAAATATGTATACATCATATATATATACATTTTATATTTTATTTATTTTATTAAATAAATTAATTAGAAATAGATATAGATTTCGTTATTGTAAAAAATTTTTATTTCATTGAAATTTATGTCAGGTAAATTGAAAATGGAGATTACAAAGTAAAGAAGCTGTTGAAAAAAAAGAATATTACATAATTACCTAAAATTGAAGGTTATCTTGAATTTTATGAAAATACCGAATATACGAAATTATTACTAATGTAAATAATATTCCATGCGTATTATTACTACTGTAAATAATATACTGTAAGGAACTGAACGAATATTAAAAATTCCAGAAATCATCGGATAATTTATAATTAATTATATGTATTAGTTTAAACGTGTATATATTTATATTACTTTCCTAGTGGTTTGACCTTTTACTTTAAGGGAGAAAATATAATTTATATACGATTTGAAAAATCACTGTGGTTTAAGAAATGAAAGTTATTGTAATAGAAAATTGATAATTAAAAAAAAATTAATTACAAAAAATAAAGGAAATAAATTACAAAATTAAAAAGGAACAAAACAAAATACAATACCTAAAATATAGGTAATACTGAATTTTTTCACCACTATAATTTTAATAAATATAAATCCAGTAATAAATCCTATCTCAGAAAATTGCACTAAATTGAATTTGATCATTAATGATCCAACCGTGATCATACGGAATTATTCACGATGCCTTATTAAGGCTTATACTGAATTGTTTATAATTTTCAGCGAATCGAAGTAGTGAAGGATAATCGCTATGTTGTCCCGCTGTAAATCTAGATATCTGTATATTAGATAATATACATATTTTGTGTTAATCAAAATTTAATATTAACCTAAAAGTTATGCTAAATGTTCTAAGAATGGTCGTATAGTCCCGATTATATATACATACGTGCATATATTTTCTACCAAATACAGCCTTTCTTTATTAGAGATATACATAGTTTTCCCACAATGCTTAGCGTTAGCGCTTCTATAGTATATCTTGTGTTGACAATCAGTGTACAATGGTATTTCATTGAATAGATTATTTGAAAGACGAGTTCTGTAAAGTGCTACATATTTTTGGTCCTTCTCGAACATTCGATTTATATTATAAGATTCTGAAAAGTGATATCGATATGTTTGTTTATAGGATTACGTTAGTTCCAAAAAAAGAACGTGTTATATTAACCTGAATCGCGAGGAATTTTCACGGACGTTTATATTATTTAATCGCATTCCAGTCGAAGTGTGATATAAAGGAGAAATCAAGATTATGTTCGGTACGTACAAATTTTAATATTCTGTTAGTCATTAAATTGACACATGACG